TTAGGGAAGGCTCAACATGGACGGTCTTCCCAAATCAAACAAAATACACTTAAGGAAATGTTAGTTGTACCACCTGGCCCAGATATTATATGGATATTAATACAACAGAATAAAATCATAGTATAATCATAATCTATTGAAACAACAATGTCATTTGCAAACAAAAAAGCAATATATATCTCAAATATAAGTAACATAGAGGAATAAAAATCTAATGTGCAGGTCTAAGAGTCTACTGTAAATTGACTGAGGAAAGCTGGGCTCCTGCTCTAAGTAAAAAGATGTGCTCAATTTAGCTCACCATGGGTTTCTAAGACAGAAGTTCAAGTAGTATTCGTTTGCTGTAGTTACAATATGTATTACACACACACACACACACACACACACACACACACACACACACACACACACACACAATGACAGACCGGTTGGTTTAAAAGAAACAGAAATTAGTTTTCTCACAACTTTGGAGGCTGGAGGTTCAAATTCAAGATGTCAGTCGAGTGGGTTTCTTCTGTTACAGATGGTGTTTTCTTGCTGCATCTACAAATGGTCATCTATCTAGCCACACTTTGTCCTTCATATAAAAACAGCAGCCACACTGAATTAGGATGCACCCTGATATCTACATTCTACCCAGTTGACTATTGGGATTTCTATATACAATTCTTTGCCACCAGATAGACAAGAACAGGGGCCATGAATCAAACTAGATAAGCTTCATCCTTGCATCTGAAGCTTGCAAAGCACATGAGCATCTTCTTCAGGGCCTCAAAACTAATTTTTTAATCTACAAAACTAGAGACTGTAATATCAGTTTAGCAGAATGCTTTGCAAAACTCTTTAGGAATAAAATAACACACATAAAAATAGCTATTACCCAACACACCAGTGCAACATGACTCATAGCTAATTGCTGCCGCTGTTATTTTACTATTAAACATTTAACAAGGCACATTTTATACTAAGAACCATAGACAATATACAGTGCCAATAATAAATCAATGTCATGAAAAATTCACATGAAATATCAGAGAAAACAGCATGACATAGTTTTTGGACTGAGAGCAATGCCATGATGACGTTATGTCTTTAGAACTGCTTCTTCTTTAAGAATAAAATGCCTAAGGAAAGACTTTCTTAGTCCTCCATTGAAAGGATCTTCTGGGCCACAAATTCATAATGTGATGTTGATTTTGCAGCGAAAAACTGGGACACATGGAAATTGTGTGATTTAACTGTCAACTTGGAGTCAGTAAGATAAGGTATTGCTAGAATCCACTCTTTTCCTATAAGCATGGCTCACTGAGTCAACTGACTTCACTCCTTTCTTTGCTTTGATGATCATACGCAGCCTGATTGGAAAGTTGCACTCTATAATTTCACAGTGATTACATGGCCCTGGAGATCATTTTGTAAGTAAACGTTTTAAACCAAAGATAATCATTGTTATACAACCATAACCCTTTTTCTTATGCCATATTCTCCACCAAGAATTTATCCAAGCTAAAGTTACACTTCGCAGTCTCAATAGCTGGCAGGCAGCTCGGCCCTACATTGCTGCAACCCCAACAATCTCTGGGGTCTCTGAAATCTGTCTCTTGGATAACCTCTGTCCTTGTCACAGAAGCAAATATACAGCAAGCTGCCACTGTGCTCTTGACGTGAAACTTGGCAAACACAATACACTGACATGAATTAGAGCAAAGGCTTTGCAGAGAAGTGAAACATGTTATTCAACAACTCAGCAATATGCTACTTATTTCTGGATATCATCCTTCTCTCTCCTGGGAAACTTTGTAATCACTGTTCCAAGTTATTTCCAGGTTTATCTCCTGCTTCATGTGTTCATATTCCAGGTTAGTAACTCAGATATACTCCCATATAGAAATACCAGAGGGTCATTCATAATTTTTACCTTCCTTAGTTTTCTACTGACAAATACACCAATAGTCAATAGTAACAAATATACTGATATAGGCTCTTGTTTTAAGTAACATACAATTCCTGCTTTATCTCAAAACTTTCTGAATTTTTTATAGAATATTAAAAATTTAGAGTATGCCCCCCTCTGTGTGCCTAATAGTGAATGAATCCCAATAATATTACATTCTGTGACCACTTTAAAAGCAAGATCGTGAGTTCCTTCTCTCTCTCTCTCTCTCTCTCTCTCTCTCACTCACTCTCTCTCTCTCTCTCTCACACACACACACTTATTTTATTTTGTGTGAATGTATGTGCACATGTATGCTACAGTATACATGTAGAGGTCAGAGAGCTGCTGGTGCAAGTGGATTATCTCCTTCTATCATTTGGATCCCAGGGATCAACTGTGATCAAGATTAGTGGCAAGGGTCTTTACACAATGCACACCTCACAAACCCCACAAATGGCAGTCTTAAACTGTCTTGAAGGAAAATTGTGCAATTACCTCTTTAAAGATGGAATTTCTATATTAACAAATCAAATCAATTGGTCCCTGCTAGAACTTTGGAATTCAGAAGCAACATAATCCCAGAAATGGAGGAAAACTTAATTATTCAGCTGTAATACGCAAATTAAAAATATGGACTATAGTATTCTCTCTACATTATTTATATCTTGTTTGTTTTCTAGCCTCTTCCAAGCAATGATCTCTAGATTTCTCACATGTGAAATAAATGTTTTTGCCCTCTGGTAATATTTCTGTGCTACTTTTGTCTAAATACCTTTGTATAGTATCAAATCTATCTCTTGCCAGCACACCAAAGTAGGAGTTTGCACAGCATCTCCAAAGCCGCTCTCCCTAAACAACACAGGGAACAGGAGCATTTGTATAACTTGCACCCTGCAAAATTCTTCAGGTGTTTATGCTTTCTTGTGTTGCAACTAATTCAAGAAGCCAACTCTAACCAATAATACTTTCAATAAGTATACTATTTAAACAATAAATGTATACGAAACAAATGTTTTCACAGATTAGCATGCAAACTCAGAACAGATCTGCATCCACATTTCTGTGCAGATCAGTTCACTGATCTGAATGTTTGAGGACACCTCAAGTACATTAACAATAGTGTATTGTTAATGTAAGTATCTTATTGTCTTTGAGCAGAAGAACAGTAAACAGTGACGGATTTAACAGGATAAGCCAGAAACTTCATTCTTTGGTGGAAAACTCATACTGATGTTCTGGGTTGATTTTTGCCTTTCCTCTATGGGAATATCACAGTCATAAATTCTTTCTATGATATACAAACTGTGCTTCGGTAACACAGACTAAGAAGTAAGACTAGATGTGGCTCTTGGTTTTGTGAATGAGTAGTCAGTTTTTCTAAGATCTTCTGTAGGAAGAAAACACAGCATACATTTTGTCTTTAACATCACAAATTACCGGGCAGTGGTGGCACACACCTTCAATCCCAGCAATCGGGAGGCAGAGGCAGGTAGATCTCTGTGAGTTCAAAGCAAGCCTGATCTACAGAGCTATTTCTGGGACAGCTAGGGCTGTTACACAGAGAAACCCGGTTTTAAAAAACCATAAAATTGCAAGGCTTACAGAAGTAGCATTAATCTATGACCTACGCCATATGAGACTTCTGGGTCTTGTGATTCAAGCTATTTTATTTTTCATCATACTCTGCGTCCAAATTGAAAATTAACTCAGTTGATCAAGCAATGAGTCCTTACATATAACTCAGGACTCATTGAAATTAGAGAAGTAAACTGCCTGTGACAATAGCTGTTGTAAATTATAACAACTATTTGATTCTTCATTTTAAAGGCACAATGATGACCCCGTCACATGCACATGAGAGTAAGTGAATGAACCATGTCCTGTCTAAACTAAGACATGGTGAAATATGGATGGCCAGTAATAAAAGGATGTCCCATATGTTGTTATTTATATAGACTAAACTATTAAGATTTACCTACAGTCAGCTCATAGCTTCCCTTAGCATGGATCCACTTAGTCATTTTTAAAATATTTGGGCACTGGACCCACAAAAAGGAAGGACAAACCTGTGCCACTGAATCAACCAAAAATTTTTCTAGTAGCTTTTTCATTTCATAGCCTAGAGATGTCATTTAGGAAAAGCCGTAGAGTTTTGTATTTTAATCTTCAGACTGGTCATTTATTGATATGAAGACTAGAAGATATTATTTATATTTGTCTTAATTCCATTTGCTTTTTAGAGTTTTCCACCCCACAAGGTTTTGAATTCATAAAATTTTTTGTTGGGTAATTTATAAGTATGTTACTATAATACCACACACATCTGTTTTAGGTTGCATTTGAATTCTTATTTTCTTATTGATAAATTGTTTGTGACCATAAGCCAAGTGTTTAGTTGCTCTTTGATGCACAAGTACACACACACACACACACACACACACACACAAAATCAACTGTGAGTCACAACCCCTTTGTGGGTTGAACAACCCTTTCATGAGAGTTGCATATCAGATATCCTCTATATCAGATTTATATTACAATTCATAACAGTATCAAAATTACAGTTGTGAAGTAGCAACACAATAATTTTATGGTTTGGGGTCACCACAACATGAGGAACTGTATCGAAAGGTCACAGCATCAGGAAGGTAGCAAATCGCTTCTTGTTTAGGAGTGGAAAGAACTCAATGTTGGGTTTTTGTCTGTTTTGAAGCTGTGTGTGTCCTATGTATACTGTCATAGTTTCTGTGAGTTCATGTATGTATCAGTCTTGTGTCTGTAAGATACAAGACATAAATTTCTGAAGTATATATATATATATTTACATATGTATGTTTAATTCATTGCATAATAGAAAATGCATACATAAGAAAAACCTATAGAACAAATAAAATATGTAACAGCAAAATAAGACCTTATTGATGAAGACACCACATATTTTGGCTGTAGGACAAAGAGAAAACAATTCCAAACCAACAAGAAGTCTCCTCCCTGTTATCTAGTCATCATGTTGTCTGGAGGTGCTATATGGGAAGCTAGGAAAGAAAAGAAAGAGTCTTACCGGGTGCAGGATGTTGATGTTGTAAGACAGCTCTGCCAGACAGATGGGATCATTGGTGTAACAGTGCCAACAACTGTCTGAGTTTGGAGCTTGAGCCACAGCAGAGAATTTCATTCTTGGGACTGTAGTATCCAATACTGTTGTTATTTTGTCAAATGGTCATGCTTTGAAAATGTCTTCTAAATATTTATGTTTATGTCCAGTGGACAACTGTCAACACAGAGACACATAATTAGTCAAAGCATAAGAGACTAGTACTCAACCTTAATGGAACATGATTATCAATACCACACATCACATCACATCACACCAAACAGGTACCATAAAAGCCTTGACTCGCCCTCTGGAAAAAATGTTCCTACTGAGTTAGATTTTTGTTACTAAAGTCATGGTATTAATGAAGCTTAAATCTGTTACTTGCTTGTGTACCCATTGTGTGTTACAATCACAGGTATCACTGCTGTTAGTCCCTACTGCCACTGTTATGACATTGTATAAATGGAGATTACTGCAAACTTTTCCCTAAGCTCAATAATGCTCATATGCTTCTACCTGCGCCTTCTACTATTTGGAAACTGATACCAGAAGCTGAGAAACCTCCGTGGTCACATTATCCATCAGGGCAGTATTGGTGAAAGCACAGCCCAGTAAAACCTGTGAGTCTTCATGCTCTGGTCTATTCATCATTCCTTGAGTCAAGAACAAAAGGTAAATATTTCTGCTACTTACAACCCCTTCAGCATTTGGCAATAAATTATACTGGCTGGCTAACAATGTTCCAGAGTCGCCACGTAGAATATGGCTATTTTGATAACTTGTGAAGTGTTTACAGCTTGGATTTACTCAATCTCTGTCATGTATTTCTCAGAATCTTGCCTCCCTCTTCTGTGATCATGTGGTTAAAAACTCATTTGGAGCACGTAACACTCATGTCTACTTTCCTCTTTATTCCATTTTCACTCCTCATTGTAAAAGCATAACTTTGAGACCTTAGTAATGCTTTTTACTGTCTTCATCGTTTTGAGAGACACAAATGATAGCCATTTCCATATTCATATTGCCCAATAAACTTGTCGTCAAAATTTTCAGAAAGCCCTCATTAATCTTAGTCCTTTCCTCCATGCAGATGAAGAGGCCTTGAAGCAATTTGAGTATGCTTCTTCAGAGTCAATAGCTAAATTGAAAATAATTCCTTTCAAAATGCTTAAGACGTCTCTCAGCAATCTCTAGTCACTGGTAATATTAGGGAATAAATCTTTTCTGAAGACGGGACAAGAAGTAGAACAAAACAAAAGAAAACTGCATCACTTCAGGCAGACAGGAAAAATACCACCTTGGGCTCATTTGTGTCTGGTGGATATTGCCTTGAACATTCTGTAGAAACCAAAAGCAAAACAGCGGAGGGAATCAAAATAAAAAGTTGTATCATTCTGTGCGCATGGATGCAGGTCTGAGTGTGTTTCCTTCAAATAAGCAAACCAGCCTGTGGTTTCTTTCATTAGAAATCCGTTGGCATGGATTGCACTTACAAAATTCTGGACTGGACTTCTTAGGTGGGATTTCTGAACTCGTTGCTGGAAATATGACCTCAGTCAGCCCCTGATTTCCTGTGCAATCTTGAGAACTTCATCTCTGCACTCCATTTCCTTGTCAGTAACATTATTCAAAAAAATATGAATGTGTTTTGAGAGAGGGGTCAGCAGGAGGCTAGGAGGGCAAAAGAGGAAATACAACAAATGTTTTTTTCAGATTAATTACACAGACTTCCTGAGTATCTCCTCAAGTCTGCACGGGCGCACACTTTGCATACTTGAAAGCAAGCAATAGAAAAGAGTTCATTAAAAGCTTTTGAGCTGTGAAGACTGCATGGGAGTGAACTAGGCCCTCCATACGTGGGAGACAGTAGTGAAGCTTGCACTAGCTAAGGGGCCCCTGGGAGTAGGACCACAATACAAACGTGGTATGTGAGTTAGCTTGTTGGAGCCCATTCCCTATGGTGGGATGGGATGCTCAGCCTTAATGCATGGGAGAGGCGCCTGGTCCTGTCCCCACTTAATTTGCAGCCTATGGTGACTCCTCATGGGAGCCCTTACCCATGAGGAGTGGACAGTGGGTGGGCTGGGAGGGAGGTGTGGGAGAGGGGCAGGAGGAGGGTTAGGAGGGAGGACTGATGTCGGAATGTAAAATGAAACTTAAAAAATAAATAGTTCTCCCTCTCTGTTACTGGCTTTCTTGAGTTCAGCTCAGTACTTAACCAAGGGAGTCTGCCTCTTCTTCGATCAGCCACTAAACAAAGGTTCTAGGCCCTGCCCTATATGAAATGACAGATATGGACACCCCCATGGAGGGCCTCACCCTCCCTGGGGTAATGAGGGGATAACGGGGGGGGGGGGGTTTGGGGGGAGGGCACGGGAGGAGGGAATGAGAGAGGGACCTGGAACTGACTTGTGAAGCAACCTCGTTTCTTATCTAAATTTAAACTGGAAAATAAAATTAAAAAAAAATCTCCAAGTACAGAAACAGTACAACATGTAAATCTGCTCCTGCTCATAGTGGTTTTCTGGGAGGCAACATGATTCATTCATTCTGTAAATAAAAAATAAATAAATAAATAAATAGTTCACATAAAAAAGCTTTCAACATTAAAATGTGGAAACCTTTAAAATGTTAAAAAAAATCCAAAGATACTGACATATTTAATATGACTTACATATTATATATACCTGTATTATGTAAACATTCCATGCTATCCCATTCATTTGCATAACTTTCATGGTTTTTTTTTCTGTTGACTAAAAATGAATTTAAATTTAGGAATTCAATTAAAATGAAAACAATGGAAAAGAAAGAAAACACTTTTTTAAGTACATGTTTCAAAGCATCCCAAAGCCCCTGCGGTCCTTGTGTAAACACAGGCTCTGAATAGATGCAGAATGTAGGAGAGCAGCACTAGCTTCTACGTATCCAGGAGGCACTCAGCTGCGAAAACCACGTAGCAATCAGCTCGTAAGCAGCAGAGGATGATGTCAATCAGGTCAACTCTCATTTTTAAAGATATTTTTATCTCATGTGTGTTTGCCTGCCTGTGTGGATGTGCACCACATGCATGACCAGTACCTGCTGAGGCCAGAAGAGGGCGTTGGCTCTCTTAGATCCAGAGTGACAATCAGTAGTGAGTAGCCATCTGTGTGATGAGAATGGGTCAGGGTCCTCTACAAGGGCACAAAGTACCCTTAACTGCTGGGTTTCTGCATCTCCCACACTGACGTTCTTAACGTGATAGAAAATGTGCTTTATCTAGATCTTTTGAAACATAAAGTTTTAACCCTATATCTGAACTACTCAGTAAGAATATACATACATACATACATACATACATACATACATACATATCCAAACCCAGTACCCAGTACCCCAGGTAACCCCAGAAAGCAACGTACAATTTATCTGATTGCTTGAGAAGTTACAAAGCATGTGCTGATAACTCACTGTAAGTTTTGGGATTTTATTTTTAAAAGTGAAGAGAAATTTGCATGTTTATTCATTTGTATTTATTTCTATAAATGATAGTTAAAGAAAAGACTAAATCTGGGAGGAAGTGGGGGCAGACATAGGTGAGGAGGGGGGAAAGGGAGAGGGGAAATGATGTAATTAAGTTTTAGTTATATAAAAATGTATGTCCGAACTGACAGTTTGTTGACTTTGTTTTGAATATAGTCACAAAATGTTTTCTGTGTTTCAAAATGTTCACTGTTGCAAATACCTTCTGCTGGATCAGTGCTCCTTCCCCTCAGGCTGTTGACATTTCGTGTCATATAATCATTTGCTATGGAGCTTTCCATTGCTTGATAGATGAGACAGCATCTACAGACTTTACCCGGGAGGCATCTATAGCACAACTTCTCACCCCATCTGTAACAACTAGCTAGTCTTCTTTTCCATCGTTGCAAAGGTCCCTTTGAAAGGAAGACTGCTCCAACTGATAGTCACTGTTCCATCTGAAACAATCGTAAATAGATTAAATTATCTGCGAAACCTTCTGCCTGGCTGACTATGATTTGGATTTCGCACGTCGTAGAGGGGCCATCCTGATGAACTGCTCTGGCGCCCTCATGAAGGGAGTTCTCCCTACTGCTGCCTCCATCTGGTGTGTCCTTAAGTGGATACCTGTGCCATTCTTAGAACCCGCACTGCCTCTGTCACCATGGTTGTTTATTCATTCTGCCATCTCTAGGGACATCATGGAGATGCCAGAGTGAAGTTTCTCTTTCCATGGACTCTCCCATGAGCACACACCCCATGCAAGGTTCATCTTAGGGAATAAAATGCTGGGGCCACTCAATGTCAGGCATCCAGACCCTTGACTCCAAGGCTTTATGGATGCATAAAGAGAGTAAATTGACTTTACTTCCCAAGAAGTAAAAAGAGAAATAAGAAAGGGAAAAACGTCAGTTTGCAAAAATTAAATACTAACCTAATAAATGTGAATGCATAGTTACCATGACTTACACTGGAAAATCAAGTTTTCCCTAGCAAAACGAGGCTGCTGCTGATAGTACTGGGTGTGTGGGTGTTGTTTCTCGAGATATGGTCTGTGACTATTTTGACTGATTTATGACAATCAGCAACATCACTTTCATCATGGACAGACGATGCTGAGCATTCCAGAAAACCACAAGTGTTTTAGTCTCCTTTCTCAGATAAACAAACTGGAATTTCACGACATTTTTTGTTTGGATTTTTGTGAGCAAATTGTAAGCAGGTAGGATTACTGAATGCATAGAATGCTTTGTTATACATATCAAAGCTATCGTCTCCATGCTACAGGTAAGAATCCAACGGAGAAAAATGCAGTCACGTACTCAAAGTTAATTAATGACAGTTCTCTGACTTGCATGTAGGTATGTTGGTTCTGGGCTGAGTACAGTTTATAATACAGCCTGGCTACCCTTTAGTGACAGAGATGGTTTCAAGAAGTGTGTGTATGTGTGTGTGCGTGTGTGTGTGTGTGTGTGTTAGGGTTCAAAGAGAGAGCGTGGTGGAAAGAGTAGTATGAATACATTTTTATACACATTCTTTTTGTGAAACTGTCAAAGAACAAACAATAAAAATGTGGTTCCCATGTCACTTGTGAAAGAATGAAGAGAAAATAGTGATTTTGAAATAAAATAAAATAGAATGCCTAATAGTCTAAGGTAATCAAAGCAGCAACTACTGGCCATGGCTTGTTAATGTGCTCTGTTTGGTACACCTCAGAACAAAGGTGTGGGAACTCTGCCATACTGCACAAGAGCTAACTGATCCAGCTTTTCTTATCGCTTCCTCTAAAGGTCAAATAGAGTAGAACCATTACCACTCATGCTCAGACGTGAACACAGTGTTCAGTTTTATATTCCACTCTGGCAAATACGGTGAATACCTGTCATTTCTCTTCCTGTCCTCGCCCTTCCCAAAGACCTAATAAAAAGGGAGGGGACAGGTAGGGTTTTCCTTTTGTACGAATCAGTTTCCTGGAGGTTTCAATTGTTTCAACAGGGAGCAGACTACTAACAAGCAATTGATACTCTGACATTATCAACTTTTCAAAGAAGTTTCCAAATCCTTCCTGATAAATAGAAATTATTTTCCAGGCATAGTAAGGGTAACAGGCACACCCCTACAAACTTATTCTCTTATAGAAGAACACCAAAGCTGTCATCTCTTGTAATTGTGATACAAAATTTTCCACCCAATATAAATGACAATTGTTTGTTATGCTGTCCGCTATAGTTGGGACAATCCTGGAACAAAACACTCATAGTGTTACATGCATTTTATATCTGAATATAATTCTCATTCTTTCACTGCTGCCTATTTGTGGAAATTAAATACAAAGGCTCCCAACTGGTTACCACTCCAGGAAAATGTGGCACCTGTGTCACACACTCCCCCAAAGACTCAGGGATCATCTTAGAAGAGGAGGCAGAAGGATTGATTGTAAGAGACGAAAGCAGTGTTTTCTGGGCACAACAGGGTCGCTGCACACATGAATTCACAGTGTTTGTGGAAGCATTCGATGACCTACACTAGTCAAGCCAGGAAAAATCCCAGCATGGAGAAGGCAGGTGATCAAAGGAGGCTGGGAAGAGAGAGTTAGTGTAGTTAGTTTTCTCTATGGGTTTGTCCTGGTAGGTCTAATGCACTCCAGTGGATGGCCACATTCACCCGAAAATATTTACATAACATTAATGGGACTTAATCCATTCTTTGATTTTAAAAAGGAAAAAATGAGTAAGAATACAAAGTTTTATGGGTACCGAATGTGGGGATCTTCGAAGAGATGGGGGAGGTGGATGAATTCGTTCAAAATGCAATGTATGGAATACACAAGAAAGTTAATAAAACATTTTTAAAATATCAAAATAATTGGTGTTTCTACAGGACGCTTTATTTTATAAATAGGTTTGTAGCTTCTGTTTCCTATGGGATAGTTTAGAAGCATTAGTACTTCCATGTGTACATTGAATACTGATGTTAGTGACCTACATTTTTGGCACTACCCACCCATAATATTATCTCTAAAGCACTGGAGTGCAGCACCCATTAATTTTGATACTTATACCCCAGCCTAGTAAATTGATTTGAATGAGACTTCTGAATCTTGAAGCAATCCTTTTCATGAATTCTATTTTTAGAAAGAGTTATGTAGTCTGTGGCATGTCCCTTCCAGTGAGTGCCATGAAATAGACGTGTAGAGGCTTACCAGCAAGAAAGGGGCCTATGAGTCACACTCTACCGTTAATCTGTAAGGCATTACATCATGAGTCATTTAGAGGAAAGGGTAGTGTTTCCTCTTGAATTCATTACAGCATGAAAGGTAACATTTAGAAGGTGGAGTACACAAAACGTGATTGTACCTCTCAGGTAGAAGCATGTTTCCCATGAGAAAGTGCACTTTCTACTTAAAAAGAGACAGTATTCCTTTGGTATTTCATCAAGAATAAGTGACTGGAAATGTATGAGCTCATTCATAAAATATTCAGCTAATGGGAGGAGGAGAGCAATGCAAATAAAAACTGTAGAAATTAGAAATAGAGTAAGGAAGGACAAATGGACGTATGGAAATGGTATAGCTTGTTAACTGAGCCTAGATGTTTTTCTAGCTGCATGAAGAACTAATTGAAGGAGTTCTTTTTTTTAACAAGCACTAAATAGATAAAATTGATTATTTCTCTCTTGTCCTCATCTCATACTTTAGTTTAAAACTAAGAAGTCCTGGTGTATGCCTGGTTAAGTACTAAGGCACGTTAAATTAAATTTAATGCAATAGCATTACATCAAACTATACTTAAGTAAAAAAAAACCTTTTGTTACAAATGTTAGACTTAAAAAGAGGAAGAGATGGCAATGAACAGGTAATAAAAATTGTGTAGCTATCGGCTAAATAATGGCTGTCCCTCAGTTTCCCCAATGTAAAGTGTAAATTTTCACACACCCTCACATATTTGACATGTTTTTCAGAAATCAGCGGAAATAATGTATGTGACAGCGCTCAAAATCTCAGCTGATCTCATTGACTGTGAGGGATAGCAAAGAGGCTTTTAGATCATTTAGCCTGGAAATAAGAACAATCAGATGAACAAATACAATGCTATCAATCACTTCCAGGCTTGACCATAGATATGATTCTGGATATTCAGTACACGTGTGTGTGCATGCATACACACACACACACACACACACATACACACAATGTACACACACATACAGACCAACAGATGCTGTAAATGACAGTGAGAGAAATTTTAGGCTTACTGAAATACATTTCTAGCATTTCTAGTAGAACATTTGGAAACTTTGAGTCTCCATCAGTACAAACATCCAGACATGAGTTACAAGACACTATGCTGGTGAGGTGAAGGAGAAAATTCATACACTAAATTGGCAGCTGAGCCACAGGAGCTACACAGTCCCTGCCAAAGTCAAGAATCTAGTATGTGAAACATGTCAGGTTTATATTTTCAGTGGTCTCTCCTTGAATATCAAAAGTACCCTAAGCATGCTTTCCAACATTGTAAGTTCCTCGTACTGGGCGACATTCCTATCCTTTCATTACCTCTCCTACCACAGCAGTCCCCAGGATACAACTCAGGTCATCAGTCTTGGCAACAGCCAACTTTATACACTGAGCCATCTCTCTAGCTCACAGATGTTATTTATATTATACACACACACACACACACACACACACATACACACACACACTAAATTAATTTTAAGTATAATTCCTTAAACGGGAATTTAATTTCAAATAGTTGAAAAGGCATTTCTTAGGTAAATATGACAATGAAGTTAAGCTGAGGCTTGCCTGCAAAGTTGAGAGCCATCACTGTTCAAATATCTCACCAGAAATGGAAACACATGAAATCTGAAGCTTTTGAAGTATTCAAAAAAGGCCATCCTATTATTATAAAAATAGCAGCTTTCATTTATCCATTTCTCCGTGTTTTTCCACTAGAACCCACTAATATAATTGCCGGGGCTATAAATCATTTCAACAGAAAGCAAACAAGTAGACAGAAATCAAGCATATTCAATGGACTGGAAACCATAAACTAAACAGGAAGTTCAAACTAAAAATTTGAACTTATAAGATAATAACAGTTATTTGTATTTTATTCAAATCAGAAAAAAAATGTTTCAACTTCCATAGAGTTCAGATGAAATTGGAGAGCTGCAACTCTGTCTTTTCCTGGTTGCTTCAAAGAGAACAAGAAAGAAAGATGCTTGAGCCCATTTAGAGCACAATAAAAATAAAGTTATAAAATATATACATACTTTTCTAAAAGAATCTCTGAACCCCTACAAAAAAAACATTGTGAAAGCATTGCCCTATTTCTGAACCTACCAATGAACTAGCAAGGATTTGATACTCATCCTCTCTGTACTCCTCCAGGATCTGGCAGATGCCAGAGGCATCTTTCATAGCTACAGCTGGTATTTGTTCCAGACCAGGCAC